CCCTCCCCGGATGGAGGTGGGCTCGCGCATGGACCCCTCTCCACCGCAAGCAGTAGTTCGATGGGGACGAATGCCACAAAAGAACATATGACGCGAGGGGCAAGAAAAAGGGCACCAATCATACTACGGTCAACAGCAAACTCGCACCAGGGAGTGAATATGCGCCACAATTCCCAGCTTGGCATCGCACTGCAACTGAGCACACTCGCTACCGCCGGGCCAGACGTGCGCACCGGCTACTGCGACTGCAGATACGCTTTCCCTGGCTACTGGCTACTGCTGCAGGAATGTAAGCCGAGCACACATGTGCAAATGGCCACCTCCCACCCCCTCCACTCATCCACCGCCATCTTACCCGTACAGAACGCTATCTCTACTGTTGAAACGTCAACCACAGTGAGTCATCCTGTTGGGATCAAGGCAACTATTAAAGCTGGCAACTACTAAAGCTCGTCCCAGCGATTACTAAAACTTGGCACAGCTCGTTCTCGGTTGAGATGCAGATTGGGATAATCACAATAACTCGGCTCGGCAAATGATCTATGACGCTTTAGCCTTCCAGCGCTTCGCCCTGTCATCTCTGCCAACACTATTTCGCGGCGCCGCTCTCTGGAGCTTCGCCAGTGCGCTAGGTAGCGCTGCTCGGTGACTGGCGGTTGAATTACGTGATTGGTCGGTGGGGGGACTGGACGTGGTTGGTGGGGTGTTGATTGGTAATTGCCTAGATACAGCTCGGAGGGCGCGATTGAGACCAGGATAGTGGGGAGGAATGAAGTTGCTGGTTAGAACGATAAACGGTGACAGTGGTTGGAGGTGATGGGTGTCCCAGTGTGGCTTCTAGAGGCAGGGGTTAGGAAGAGGATACAGGAGGAAAAGAAGGGTGCTAGTCAGAAGTTCGAAGCAAGAACTGCAGTTAGCAGTAAAAAGGAAAATAAACCAACACGGCACTACAAAGAAAAGTAAATTAAAACAAACCTCAGTTTGTGAATAAAAAAAATTCATTTTCTGAAACTTATGCTTAACTGAAGCTGAGGGCTAATAAGTTCGACAGAATTTACTAAAGCTTATGCTTAGATTAAGCGGGGGGCAAATAATTTCGACAAGACTTACTGAAGCTTATGCTTAGGTGAAGCTGAGGGCAAATAAGTCT